CATGTCTGGAGGTGATGCTTTTTATTCTTTGCCTGTCTTTCCGAGTATGATGTAACGATGATTTAAGAGCTTGCTGCCACAGAAATGAGGAGAACTGTTCCCCTCCTCATCTCCCCAACCTCCTCCTTTCCTCCTGTCTATGCACTCTCCTCTCTTAAAAGCTCACCCTGATGCTCACAGGGTAGATAACACACGTTGACTTAACTCTCTAGAAGAGCTGAAAACTTAATCCAGAAAAATGGCAGTAAGGTTTTCTGTGTGGTTTGGAGCTGCATCTGTGTCCTTTGCAATCCAATGCTTGACGGTGACAATACAAAGTGCTGAGAATAAAGGACTGCACAGCCAGAAGTGGGGGACTGGAGGAGCACTGAGGGAAGAAAGGAGAGAGGGATCAGGAGGAAGGAGTAGGGGTAAAGGAACAAGACCTCCCTTTCCAAAGCAGAAAACAGTTTAGTTGCAGCAGGGAACTGCACTCTTGCCTGTATTTGGCAACCGTGATCTCAGTTCCATGTTTATCTGCCTTGATAAGATCTGCATCTCCATCCTGGAGTACATTCCCTTCTTCAAAATGATTATTTCATGCATTAAAGTAGTATTTGACAAACACCACATTAAATAAACAAACAAACAAACAAACAAACAAAGTACTTTTTGTGCTTTCCAGTTTTCTTAAAGGTGGCTCTTACTAACAGATTGTGTACTAGCACAACTCCATTTCCAAGGGATGGTTAGCCCACATTCAGAGCTGAAATGCTAAAAACTGAACACGACATGTGCAAACCACCTTATCCTGTTGTGTTTCTTCTGCATTGTGCTGCCCACTGTGGCTTCCCATTAGGATATTTATGCACAAAGGATGAGCACCTTCTGTACCCAACCTCTTGGGTCTGAGCAATCCATTCACACCCAAGACACTTCAGTCTGTATCGATGTTTCTGAAAAGAACACTAGATTAACTCACATCTTGGGGCACCACAATATCCTTAATGTAAGGACCTTTGTTCCATTTTCTAAGTCAAAGTAATGGCATTCAAGAGCAGAAAATGTGAAAAACGACTTCAGATATCAGGCAGTATCAGATCTGGCAGTCTACAAATTATTGATAAACACAGATTGAGCCCAGCTCAATTTCCTGTCTTTCCCTGAAGTTGTGAGTCATTACCAAATGGCAAGGATACTCTCCTTTGGACAATATGCATAAATTGAGCTCTAGTTATTTAAAAAGAAAATCCTCAACTCCACGTTTGAAAATATAACATAGTCCACATCCATATATACATGAATGTGGATAAATACTAAATTATGATGGCATCAGTGAAAAGGAAAACTTTTAACTCAGGCTAAGGAATGAAACGATACGAGATTAAGAAACAATGTAATAATTAAAATCATCATCAGCAGAACGTAAACTGTGTAAATACTGTACAGCACTGTCAGAGAACAAGGACATTGAACTTCACTTAGGGTAAGACTTCTTCAGCAAGTTCACTGAAATTCCCTGCTATGTGACAGACACTCACTGAGAATGAATGTCTCAAAGGGGGTCATTTCCTCTTCAAAATATATTTTGCTTACAAACGAAACCAGATCAGCCTATTTCACCACCAGGGCTGTACTCACTGTCAACTGTAAAGTATATTTGTTTGGAATATATAAATATTCAACTATTCTGTAAAATATCTATACATCATTTCAGGCTTTCTAATCAAATAAATCTATTCTAGGTCTTCTTTGAATCGTGTTAGAAATAATTAACAGGATCCAAGCTAGTTATCATTCAATTGAAACTTTTTTGGTGACATGATCGATCTCGAAGCGTGGATCTGTAAATGACAGTGCGTGTGCACGCGATGGGTCCCTGTCACACCAAGGCCATTGCTGCCATCTGCTGAGGGAGAGAGAACGGCACAGGAACGGCCAAGTGTCAAAAAAATACTCCCTGTTGGCCATTCCAGGGAGAGATTCCTGCAGAGGCGATGCCAGAAAGCCCAGCTCCACCTGACCCACAAGGTGAAAAACTAAAATCCACAGGTTTTACTTCAACTCCCTTTAGAACAAAACTGAAAGAAGAGCGACGGAGCCGAACCGTTTATTAGAATATGCTCAGGAACGCTGGGAACGCTTCCAGGGTGATGCTGTGATTCCAGGGTCAGTGTTAATGCCCGCGGTATATTTGGATGCGTGGAAGCTCCTGGTACCATGTGATCACCACACACATGGTCACATTAAATGCAATCACTGCGTAATTCAGTGTTTAACGTGCAACAATCGCACTGGCAGAGCCCGATCTAAACGCGCCCCTCCAGCTCAGCCCGTGGCTGCAGCCAAGCGGCGGGCGGGTTCTGTTCCCCGCAACCAGCGACAGGACAAGAGGGAATGGTCTGAAGCTGCGCCAGGGGAGGTTCAGGCTGGACATTAGGAAGAAATTCTTCACAGAAGGGGTGTTTAGGCACTGGAAGGGAGGTGGTGTGGACACCGTCCCTGGAGGTGTGTAAGGAAAGGCTGGACGTGGCACTCAGTGCCCTAGTCTGGTTGTTCGGCCACAGGTTGGACTCGATGATCTCAGAGGTCTTTCCCAACCCAAGTGACTCCGTGATTCCTACGATTCTGTGTCTCCCAGCAGCAGGGCCACCCTCACCGAACCCCGTCCCCGCATGGACGCCAGGCCGGTCCCTCCCCTCCCGGTTCTTCCGCCTCAGGAGCGGTTTCTGGCGAGGAAGCCCCGCAGCCCTGAGCGGTCATAGCGACGGGACAGGATAGCCCCGCAACCCCCTCCACCCCCGCCACAGCGCGCACCCCCCGGTGCCCAATTCGCGCTTGGCACCGCCCCCCGAGGGAGCTGAGTGGAGAGAGCGTCTGACTGATGTTCACGAGAGCCAATCATAGTGCGGCACCGAGAGGCTGCGAGCCAATGGAAGGCAGGGGGAGGGGCCTCTGTCCGGAAGCGGCGGCGCTGAGGGAACGCGGCGGGCGGTGAGGGCAGTGAGGGTGAGTAAGGGAAGGTGGGGGCGGGCAGGTCCCCGCGGGCCCCGGATGGGTTCTGTCCCCTCCGCCAGTACCTGGTCACATCTCTTCTCTCCTCAGCACTGGTCTGAAGAGCCCTGCGGCCCAGAGCCCGGCCCAGCCCGGAGCAGGGCAGCGAAGCTCGGTGCGGGCGGGTGTGGGCCCGGGCCGGTTTCTCTCGTGGGTCGCGTGTGAAGAGGGGAAGCCACACGAGGAGCGGCTGAGGGCACTTGGTCTGTTCAGCCTGAAGAAGCAGGAGACTAAGGGCAGACCTCACCATGGTCTGCAGCTTCCTGACGAGGGGCAGCACCGATCTGTGCTCTCCGTGACCAGTGACAGGACCCGAGGGAATGGCTGGAGTTGTCAGGACAGGGTTAGGTACATATTAAGAAAAGGTTCTTCACCCAGAGGATGGTCGGGCACCGAACAGGCTCCCCAGGGCAGTGGTCACGGCCCCAAACCTGACAGAACTCAAGAAGCATTTGGACAATGCTCTCAGGCACATGGGTTTGCTGGGTTGTCCTGTTCATGACCTGGAGTTGGACTTTGATGATCCTCGTGGGTCCCTTCCAACTCAGGATATTCTGTGGGGTTCACAGACTGGGCTCCAGCTAGGGAAGGGGTCTCCCCCTCCCTGTGGCTGCTCAGTTTACAGGCTGGTCTTTCATATTTTGGGAAATGAGTGTTCTGTGCGCTACTGTAGTTGATCCTGCTGTAAGTAAACCTTAGTGAAAAGTAACATGGATTTATCAGTAGTTTCCTGTATTCTACACGTTGGGTTGTCTTTCTTCTGGCTCATTTTCTCAAGGCCACTTCTCTTGTATTGTCTTTATTTATATTTATATATTAATCTTGTGACACAAATTGTTAACATATCTTTCTTGTTAACATATGTTTCTTGGGACATTCCCATAGGTATTTTCGTCTGGCAAAAATGGGTGAACCTCAGCAAGTGAGTGCCCTTCCTCCACCTCCAATGCAGTATATAAAAGAATATACTGATGAAAATATCCGTAAGGGCCTGGCTCCAAAGCCACCTCCCCCTGTGAAGGACAGCTACATGATGTTTGGAAATCAGTTTCAGTGTGATGACCTGATCATTCGGCCCTTGGAGAGCCAGGGTATTGAACGGCTGCATCCCATGCAGTTTGATCACAAGAAGGAATTAAGAAAACTTAATATGTCTATCCTGGTCAACTTTTTGGACCTCTTGGATATCTTGATAAGGAGCCCAGGGAGCATAAAGCGAGAGGAGAAACTGGAAGACTTGAAACTGCTTTTTGTCCATGTCCATCACCTTATAAATGAGTATCGCCCTCACCAAGCCAGGGAGACACTGAGAGTCATGATGGAGGTGCAGAAGCGTCAGCGCCTGGAGACCGCGGAGCGATTCCAGAAGCACCTGGAGCGGGTTGTGGAGATGATCCAGAACTGCCTGGCTTCCTTGCCTGATGATCTGCCTCATGCAGAGGGAGGACTGAGAGTGAAAGTGGAGCCCATGGATACTGATGATGGCAGCAACTGCATCGGACAGAGCGAAAAGCAGAGAGAGCGTTCAGGTGGCAAGAGAGATCAGGTTTTAGACAAGGATGCAGCGATGTGCAGCATTATTGACGAAATGACATGAAGAAAACACCTTGCTTTGTTAATGCACCACAGGGAGAGGCAGCATGTATTCTGAGGCTACACATAGTTTGTTTTGCTGTTGTACAAGCAGATAAAGCTTTTCTTGTGCATGTGTTGGAGGTTGTGAGTGACTGGGCAGATGAAAGTGTTTGATATTTTGTGACCTGTGTTTTTTTGGTAGAAAGAAAAAAGTATAATTTTTGTGAAATGTACCATGAGGTGGTAGGCACAGATTAAAGTTGACTTTTTCTGTCATACTTTCATTTGTCACTTCCTGCGTATTTTGGGTTCATCTCTCTGATTTTTGGGTATGCCATTCTATGGTTCTATGTGCTCTGAGTCAAGAAAAAATTTCTACAGAAGTGGTGCTTGTTTCTTGCACAAGCAGAACACAGGAACTTGGAAAACAGGCACGTAGAAACTCAAATTGCACCAAGGGATTCCTTATAGTCTGTGTTTGAGGTGAAATCTAAAGCAAGTGGGTTAACTGTTGAACTGTAGCTCTCCCATTCTCTTACTGTGTGACCAGAACAGCTTTCCCGGGATACAGACAGCACTCAAACAGCTGTTGACTAATGTGTGAACGGAATAGCCTGGGCGAAGTGAGTAAAATGGACACAGACAGAGCTCTGGGATAAGAATTCCTTTATTTTCTCATCCTGTTTATTTATTTCAGAGCTCAGATGTGGCTCATGCAAGGGAGGAACCTGTGTAGACCCGTGCACAGCACATGTTTTGCAGGGGACTGTGGGAAGGGCCGTGTCCTGGTGTGCAGGTGGGTGTTTGCTGCACACTGAACCACCAGAGCTCACCAGCCCGTGCCAGGCACTGTGGGGAATGCAGTCACCCGCCTCCTGCCAGAGCCAGCTTGCCAGGATCCTGCTGGCCATTATCAGAATTGTTCCTTTAGCAGCTGTCTGCAGTTTCCTGTTTCCAAAGAAACACCAGGAGCGAAGAGGAAACGCTTTTCTTAGTGTCCTGCTTCCAGCTGCTGCACACAAAAGTCATGCTGCATGCAAAAGTCACCCTTCATCCCTCTTACTCTCACTTCTCTCCTGCAAGTGTGTTGCTAGTGTTTGTCTCTCAGCTGGATTAATCCCTTGGTTTTCCTGATTTTCGCTTAAAGAAACTGTCACTTTGGTGCCTCTGCTCTCTAAGGTATCCAGTGCGAGACAGCTCTGTTGGTTCTAACTCCTTAGTACTTAATTTCATCTGTATAAAACACTGTGAGGTAGACTAGTAGCTTCAGCAAAGAGCACTTCTTGGCTCTAGATCAAATACCCTTGATCACAGCTGCAGTTCTAGTCCAAACAATATAAAAAGACAAGATATCCTTGAAAAGAGTTTGGTGATCCAGGGACACAGGGAGAGTGGCCAGGGAACAGCCTTTCTCAAAAGCTGTATTTCAGAATTTTGTCAGAGTGAGCCTTAAGTCTGGCCTTGAGACAGTTTCCACACTACTTTTTAAACTGATTCTGCATTCTGGATGTTTTGTCTATATTGCAAAAGCCCAGGTGCATATGGAATTTTTAAGAGTCAGATGAAAAGAGACTGCAACTCTATTTGGCTCAACTGTGTAACAGTAGGACAGTTTTCCAATACTACCAAATTATTGCTGCCAAGGAAAATTTGCCAAAAGATGCTCTGAGCTGCTTCTAAGTATTAGAACCAGAAATTTATAATTAAAAGCTTGAGTAGTTCTTCCTAGGAATCTTTTTATTTTGCCAAGTCCTTTCTACTTACCACAGTACTCCATATCCTATGTAACCTTTTATCCAGTTGCTGTCTACTATGGCAAAAGCAGGTGTGGGAAGCAGTCTGGGGCAATGGTTCTGGTAGTTGTGTGAGCTCAGTGTTGCTGACAAGTTTCACTTATGGTAATCAAGCGGATCTGGAAAAAAGAGAACTAGATTTCTGTGGTGCTGCGAAGTGCCGCCTCTCAGTCACACCCCGGCAGCGGCAGCTCAGCCCTGTACACTTGTACCTTGCCTGCGCCTCTGCCTGTGCTGCGGGAGACAAACAGCCCAACCACGGGCAAAAAGATCAGACTGGACTGAAGGGCACCCACAGCTGTGTCTGGACATGGTGTGCTAAGAAGTAAACAAAGAAGTTTACCTAGAAGATAAGTTTTCTTGAATGAGGAGGGTGAGCAGGAGTGTTCCTCATCTTCAGCCACAATGTTGTCTTATGTCTGCATGAACTGGATTCTTCTGGTCCTGTTTACAGGTAACTAAGTGGGCCTAAGCAACTAGATGGAGGTGGATGGAGGTATCATGCATCAGGGATTCTGAGGGTTGCAAAGTGAGAAATTTTATCTTACAACAGAAAGAGTGGCCACATATCACAGACACTGCAGCTTTGTGTTAGACTTCTATCACAGTGACTCAATAGTGTTCTAGTGGCCTTATCACCTTTTTTAAGACAAAATCATGTTTGAGGGTATGATGGTTTTAAAGATGCTCCTTCTTGAGGTAGTCTTGGCTCCTGCTAGTCTGATTAGTGGGCTTTTAAAAACAATGATCTGAGATGAGCAGAGAACTATAAATCATTTTAGAGAAGTTGTAAAACAAGGGTATTTCACTTTGGCAGACTTTGTGAAGATGAGTACTTAGGAAGACAGGGAAAAGGCCAACTGTGGTTTCTGGTGTTTTTTAGCTAGTATGAAATTGTATTGGGACAAATTGGTAATTGCTTCTTTTTTTTTTTTTTTTTTTTAATCTGAGAAACCAGTCCTAGATTGTTAAAGGCAACAGCACTGAAAACAACAGGTTGTAAAGTGGTACTAATAAAGACAGACATTAAAAACTTGGTGGTAAGATAAATTCAGTAGAAAGAAAAGGGATATTACAGATACTCTATCTTGTAGTTCTTTATACAATCTTTTATGATGAGATTCATTTCAAGCTTCCTTTTTATATTAAATAAAAATTATAAACCAGACTGGACTTTCAATGGAGATAATTTGTTGCCTGTTCTTGCTGCACAGAACTCTATTCCTGAAATGTTAATATGGATGGATCAAAATATTTACACATGTGATCCCATGTTACTGAATTTGATAAGAATGGGCAGTAGTTAGTATATAGAAAATGGTTTTCTTTGAAGTACAAACAATGTGTGCACTTTGGGAGCCTCACTGCATACCCTTTTAGAAGAAAGTGGTTACAGGATGACTGTGACTGGATCCCCAGAGCACAAATCATTTTGAGTGGTACTTAACTAGCTTTTAATAAAAACCTTCAAAAGGGAATATTGACTGGAGTGATCTAGATACACAAAAGAAACTATCTCACTGTAATGAATGAGTGCTAGGGCTCACTGTGTTCACCTGAGTAGTGTGACACAGCCTTCTGGAAACATGAAAAATTACCTTTAAGGGGAACCAAACAAGTTAGAACCTGCATAAGAGTGAGAAGAGAAAATAAGGTAGTGAAAAAAAAAGAGTATAAAATTTCTCAGAAAAGCTCTGAAAAATCCCTTCTGATCAGAATGGGCAAAACCTGACTTTGGAAAAGAAAACCAGAAATTCATTCAATAGTAATCATTCTGATGAAACCTTCCTTTTAGTGCCTCTTCATTGAAAGGGAAGAAGAGTTTCCCACAGTGGTTTTGATGAAAGTCAGTGTCTTACTGCTCCCCTCTGTGTGGCTTGGATTAAATCTAAAGGAAGGAAAAGAGCTGACAGACTGCACCTGGCTCAAGAGAAGCCACAGAGTTGAGCAGATCCAAACACTGTTGTCTCTTCACCTCACTGCCTACCTGCAGAGGCTGAAGAAAGTGTATTTCTTCTTTCTGTGATGAGGGACACGTTCTGAACATGTAATTGGCCTGATTGTTATCCCTCACTGCATCATTCCTGCCGGGACAAATCTATTTGTGGAAAATCTGCTCCAGCAATGCCTGGTGGTGGTTGAGAGATGAGAAGTGTCAGGACAGGCAAGATGCACAAGAAGCTCCACCTTGCATGCCCTGTACTCAGCAGCTCTGTTGTTTTGTCCACAGGCCCCACAGTATCGGAATTAGTGATCGGAGAGGTTGGTCAGAACGTCACCGTGCCCTGCTCCTACAGCGTCCAGACGACACGAGACATCACATCCATGTGCTGGGGTCGGGATAGTTGCCCTAATTCACAGTGTTCTCGGCCTATTATCTGGACAGATGGATGGAGGGTGACAGAGCAGTACAGCAGCAGGTACCTATTGCAAGGGAAACTGCAGGAGGGCGACGTTTCCCTCACGATTGTGAACGCCGAGGAAGCAGACAGTGGGACTTACTGCTGCCGTGTGGAGCACCGGGGCTGGTTCAACGATCAAAAAACTAATCTCGAGGTTGTGATAAGGAAAGGTGAGTACAGAGGTGTGCTCTTGTCTGAGTACCATTGTGGTAAATCTGCTCTTGGGTCTGGGTTTCAAAGCTTGTGGTGGAAATAGTTTCTACGATCATCCATAAGGCTGATCTTTAGGACCTTGTGGGTCTGCTGTTAGTGCTGTTCAAATTGAGCTGTCTTTGGCAAAGTTCTTATCCCAGCGCAGTCACTTCATTTAATAAAAGGATATGGTACTTTGTTTCACAGTGCACAGCACTACTGAGCTTTCTTAGAATAACTGAAGAGTTTAAGAGAAAGGGCAGCACGCAGTACTTAGTTCATCCAAAGCGTTATTGCTGCACTATTTTCATAGAAAGCCGTGTTTGATTTTCCCTGCTTGATTCTAGAGTAAAGCCCAGAGACACAAAATTGGTATAGAGAAGTTTTTTATCAACTCTTCCTTTGATTTTTAGTTTTTCTCTTGCTTGTGAAAAGCATGATAATATATGGAACAACTGGCTGACAGAGGTACTTGTGTAGCTGGTGCTAGCAAATCCTTACTGTAGAAGCACTGTCTCTTTTTCACTA